GCACTCATCAGCTGGATGTACCTGCATCCCACAGTTTATGTTTACTCCGAGAATCGAATCAGTACCGTTCACTTCAAATGCCATTGCTTCATCCACTTAGCTTTTAAGTCCTGATAGCCAACTGCTTGTGCAATGCGGTGAAGTTTATGTTCACTTGGTGTTGTTTGCTTGTATCTTCCTATTGTTGTTTAGAACAGCAATTGATCAGTCTCTTGTTGGCTTATGTGCATTCTGTGCGGATCGCCCCGATATTATCTTAAGTCACACGTTTTATAAGCAAAGATGATTGGTGGCCAGCAGTCAAACCAACACGCAATGAATTTATCAATAACTCAATCTTACACACACAATTCATTCAGTCACTTATTTTCACATCATGAACTTTTCATATGATTTACATTTAACTAACTCATGTTGTCCTATTTACTAAAGTCACCATTTAAATATGACTGGATTAGCACAGTATAAATTTAATTTGATTGTTAAACGCTATATATTTCTTTGATGATTTTGATTTTGATCATGACCCTGAAGAAGTCCGGACAAGTTAACTGAACGAAACACTGGAATTATTTTAAATTTTCATCGCTGAGATTATTTCAAATATGATTTTCAACTACAATGACTTCTTTGTACTCGGTGCCCAATTTTTGTCAAACAGTTCGTTATAACATTGACGAATATTCTTGTAAATAATGTTTTTATTGTTTTCTTAACATTGAGTTAGTGCATTGGAAAATTCCTGCATATGTTTATCTGAAATTAATTGTTCGCTTTTGAGCAAACATATTTTAATCATTTCCACATGTTGTGATTAAAAGCAATATTTATGGTGAAAATGTAATCTTTATCATAGAAATGTATAAACCTTCATAGTGAAACATATCAACTGCTATAGATAGTTTATACTCATTGGATTAAGGACGTAAATTAAATGAGAACATATTTTTTTAGGTCAGGATAAATTGTTCAACTGGTTATTATGCAGCATATTCTAGTACACCTCTGGAGAATGTACTTGTGAATTAGTTCAATATAAAATATATAACTTTCATGTGCAGAGGAAATACCATCACCTGCTTATAAAATAAATAATATGATCTAAATTAAATATATATTGTTGATTAATATCGCGTTTTACTTCATTATTAATACAGAAAAATAAAGTTCTTTTTGAAATTTCTATGATCAGCTATCAATAAGATTTAAAATAATGAAATAATACCGAGTAGATACGTTGCATAATAATTATATGATGACACATCGATTATAAATTAACATTGAGTAATTGGAAGAAAGAGGATTAATAATAATCAAATTAATTATTCGACAATCAAGTAGTATCTATGTTGCATAATATCTAAAAAAGAGAATAAACTAACAAAATATTCTGATGAATGGTCAGTAATATAGTAGTTGTGTAAGAGTCAAGAGACGAATGTTGAGAATAAGTAAAATACAAAAATACCAAAACTGAAAGAGATACCAAAATAGTTTATGAAAGTTCTGCTACAAACTCCCCTATACCGATGGCAAAGGTAGCGAAAGTGATCGTACAAACTTCTTTTGGATGCAAAGTTTAGGTTTGTGAACATGAATTACAATGGCTTCAGTAATGTTAAAAGATGCACTCGTAAACCATGTGGCAAATTTGATGGAATATGGTGCATAACCTTAAACGTTTTATTTATTTCAACTTGATGACCTGTGTCCACTAAGTAAGCGAGAATAAAACACTTGATCACTCTCACTTGCTCTTTGTTCAACCACAATGGATAATGTTTTGTTATACAATGACGAACTGACCGAATTGTACGCCCTATATAACTGGCTTCACAGGAGCAGTTGAAACGATAAATACACATGGATGTGGCAAATTCAGGCAATCTGTCTCTGTTAACCGTTCTTATTGTGTGGCGGTTGTAGATTATTAATAACGAATCTACTCGGTGAGTATTATTTCATTACTGTAAATCATATATATATATTAATGTACAGCCATGATGAAAAACTAATTGAAAAGAAATTTCTTCGCTTTATAATTATTCTAGTTACAAATTATTCGTAAACCTCGATGAATGATTGTTAGGCTTCGTAGCAATTATTAATCACCTAATCACTAACATAAAGTTATCTAAAATAATAATATAACTTGGAGGTTTTTTTTTTCATTACTACATTGTCAAATTGATTCAGAGGTATCAATTAAATTACAACTAATATCTCTTATCTGAAGATGACTTACGTGAACAACAAAAAAACTGACATCGATTCATGACATAAACCATCTCCATATTGTAGTAATCCTCACAAATTGTGATAATGAAATCCGCTAGATTATCACTAAGTCATTTCATTTTATTAATCTATTGATTTTACACTTTTTCCTAGGTTTCTTTTTAAAATAGTGAATTACATTTATTGATTAAGTAAAGAAAGTAATCAACATATTTAATTTAATACAACCAATCAAAAACCGCACATTTACTTGTTTTTATTTAGGTATGAACTTATTAAAAGATTTAAAATAAACATCATTTGTTTTTACACATAAAAGTAGTAAAGTGCTAGAAATTTTGTGTAGCACTACAGAAAATAATGATGAAGTAATAGAATATCAACAAATTTAGTTAGTGTAATTTTTTATAAATTGGTATCTAACCTAAATTAGATAACAATTGAAAACCAGGAAGAAACTGTCAATCAGTTTGTTGACGTATGAAACTTCTCAGAAGTCTGCATCCATGACTTAACCAATAGTTGAACCTTAATTTCAACCCTAGCTTCTGGATACCGATTGAGTGGTTTGAAGTTTAAAAGCTCGCGACGAAACCTTCAAATCTTTTTTTCGAGCCCTAGTGGAGTACTGGACAAGTACCAATAGGATTAAATGTAAAAACATCGAATTACAGATGTTGTTAAAGACACATCATCATAGCTTAATCTCATACCAGTGCAGGTAATTAATAGTGAAGAACTAATTAATATTTTAGTACAAGATGACATAATAACTAGAACAGAATAGAAACAAGAACTGAAATTTCATCAAACGTCATAATAAAATTATAGATACATGAATGAAAACTGCTTTTAAAGCAATTAGTCCCTTTTATAAATTTCGATAGAACAATAAGAAGACGTAGTTGATCAACTACGTCTTCTTATTGTTCTATCGAAAACTACTTTTGTTTTCAATATACTCCAATTAGGTAACCTAATTACAAATTGAAATTAATGATTTAAGAGAAATAGTCAGTTTTAATTAAAATTTAGGTTTTGAAAATATAGCACATAAGTTTATGATTGTTAATAAAAACAAATGTGAAAGACGAAATAATCAGGATTCATTAAAACTTGAGTTATTTTATACTTCAAAATGGCTAAACAAATATTTTCAATAATTACAACTTTATAACAAATATATGTTTATTAATGACTAATAACGTTAATGGTGTCATTAGAATTCTTATGAGAAGCCATCAACAGTGAAGATTACCAAAATGAACGTCATTTAGTTAATTAAGTGATAAAATCGAATAAGAAACATGTTGTAACACAAATTGGCCACAAATACAAACATGAACGCAATAGTTGGTGGAGAAGATTTGTAGCTCAGGTGGATGACTTTGATGGAGTTTTGTTCTCTGACCATCCAGCTCAGAGAACAAAACTCCATCAAGAACGCAATAGTTCTTTGCTCAGAAGTAACTTTGAATACATAAGCTACAGTTTTATGAACAAATATTGTAGAGGTGTGTAAAAGTAGAAATAATCACCTAACTAATGATTCTATACTTTCATTCGTTCCCTAGATTGTATTAGTGATGACACGAATTACACCTTACCAATACAAAATCTTCACGAAACCATCTGAATTAATTAAATGATAGATAACTATTGAAAAGAAATTTAAATGATTCAGTGACTATTCATCTTGGCTGCATGCATAAAACATATAAGTGAAACGTTAGATAAATGCTAATCTTTACCTTTATGAATTATATCATTCAAACTAGTAACCTGATCAATTTATCATAGAAACTTGAATATTAGTATAATTACATTTACATATAATTTTCTCTTATCAGTTCAACATTGATGCATTTGATAATTAATGCATCGGCAGATATGATACGTAATTCTGCTTTTAGCGTACGCAGATCAATAATAAAAAACACTTATATTTTGTAGATTAAATGTTTCATTTGACGTTTACTACTGAAATACATTATGTTAGCAGAAAATTTGATTGATTGGTGACAGCTGATCTTTTTAACTGATACATTATTACTATGAAAATCTTTAACAGATTTCAAAGGATTATTGAAGAATATCAAGATTAGTTTTGGTATTTTTAATTGTACAGAATTAAATGAATAATTTAATCAACCTGAGTTTTGATAAAGCTGCTTAATCAATATCACAGATACCATATAAAAACTAAGACTGCTTTCAAATTAAGTTGATAAAAATGTTTTGCTTAAGTGAAACATCACTGTTTTATTACCAAATGTGAAAATATTTAAAATGATCTTGATATTTTTACATCTCTTTTAACCAAGTGAGTAGTTAGATCGTCAAAATTAAGAATCTATCTTGACAGATATGTTTATAATAATTCACTGTATCTTGTGACTTTCAAGATATTTTAATAGGTTTTCATTATTTTAAGTAGTAAGTGGATAAGATTAGTGTCAGTGTTATCCAAAGATGCTTACTAATTCAAAATAGTATTTATCTACTAGGTATGGATTCAATCGTTTAAAAGCCTTTCTGGATTGTCATATAAAAAACGCAAGGTCATAGTCAGCGGTAATTTTATATATACACCGTTATATGATACTATATTTCATTTAAACTAAGTTTCGCCAACTGAAAAGTATAAGTTATAGTCCATCAACAACTTATGAATAAGAACACGTAAGTACATTGTAAATTTTATGACAAAAAATAAAACTGGTTCATTTCAAAATGTAATAGAACTTTTCAACACGAAGTGCTTTGTATTTAAAATCATTATGAATTTAATTTTCACCGGAAAAATAGGACGAAAAATATGAATCATAAAAAATGTTAGATACTGTAGGATGTTTAGGTGGTGAAACCTTTAGATTAAAATCAATCAATAAGTTTAATAAGGTAGATTCGATTAGCAGAAGTAAACAAAAAGAGGTCATTAATCAAACAACAAAATGTTTTCAACCAGTAACGAATAAACTTAATACAACAGCCGAATTACAACTACAAAGTGAAATAATTCAATATGGGATAGTAAAAAGAAGAAAAATCACTCACCCACATAGTTTCAATGTTTTTTCTGATGTTGCTTTCCAATTGACTAGTTAATCGCAGATCGGTGTTATATTTGCACTAACCTATATTATACATTACGAAGTCCGTTATTGTAGTTTAGTTGCTGTTTGATAAAGGGGACATATATCAAATTTTATACTTCGGTTACCACAGGACAAAAACTTTTTAGTCAAACTAAATTTACAGTTATATTAAACGTTTTAAGTATCATCCTTGGATTCAATAATTTGATACACATATAATTGGATTTATTATCTAAACTCTTAAGAATAATTTGAATCTGAAATCTTTGAGAATAAACACAACTAATCTCTTCCAGTAGCCAAATTACACGTATTGTTGTGCATATAATATACAACAATTTATTTAGTCTAATAGTGCAACTCATTATTTCTGCTAATTCAAACATTTCGTTTCAGTATTCAAATAAAAACACATAAGATATCATACTTTAAATTTTAAGATAAATCCAGCCATCGTAAGCAGTATAGTTTATACATTATGCATTTAAAAACGTAGTCCACCAATACCAAAGTCGTACATATACGATAACTTTTTTATGTAAGCTATTCGCATAAGTAAAATACTAAAACAACAGTAGATGGTTCGTACTATCAACGAATACAGGCCCAGTTTGTTATGGCTAGTTTTCTCCTCAATAAGAGGCTATAAATATGAATAAACAGGTTGTGATAATAAAACGCTTTGTAATGTTTTTCTTGCCAATATATATAATATTCAGTGGAATATTGATATCAACCAATCATCATGTATACTTTGATCAGTTTCAATTTCATTTTGGAAACAACAAAAGACTTGTTAGCCTATGTTTTTCCTAGCATGGTTTTGATGGTCTCTCAATTAATCCAACTTTCTTTTGAAAGAGTTTACAGATAAACCTTGAATCACTTGTTAAGCTAATAAATTCCACTTAGTGATAATTCGATAACAAAGCCAATCATCAATTGATAAGTAATTTGTTCTGATCTTATAAACATAAACATTATTCAATTATCATTATTAATAAAATCAAGGGATAGATTATTAGAAACAATCAAATCAATATTATTTAGATTGTTATATAATAAATATTTTATTTAAATATATAAAACAGATCAATTTTAATTTTAAATCATTTGTAATATAAACAATTTTTTTTTAATTTCAACGAATATTTAGACAACATTTAAATCATTAATTTTAACTGCACAATTAATAGTTCCTTACCATACATACAACGTATAAGTTTATTGTATTCATTCTGTAAATTCATAAATATAATAAAGTATATAATAATAATAGGCGAATACACATTTACACATACTTGAATAGTACTTGAAAAATGTTTTTTTTTCTTTTCATTACTTCCATTCTTCTTTTTCTTTTTTCTTTTTTCTCTTCTTTTTTCTACATGTATCACTAATATGATGAATGAATAATTTTCTTTTAAATTTTTTCCATCACATGAAAATTGTAAAAACAAAAAAATAAATCTAAATGTTTTCTTCTGTATACACTTATATAACATCTTTATAGTGTTAAAATACATTCACTATTTAAAAAACGATCGAATTCAGTCTTTACTTTTTTCTAAAAGTTAATCAGTTATAAATCGTTTTAATAAAAGAAAACTATTTGTTTAAATAGAATATATTAGTTAAGATTAATTAGTTTAAACACATGATTGTTAATGTATATACATCAATCTTATGTTGATTAAGAGGTGTACATTATTTTTATCATGTAAAAGAACATAAAATTTATAAGGTATAAATGAACAAATAAGTTATTCGTATGTATTACTGATGTATAGTGATCTAGTATAAAAAAATAATATAATGAAATTTTAAGTAATTATTTAGAACAGATAACTTGCATATTTAGTAAAACTATCCATTTTTCAACATAAGAGAATAATTAAGGATTGATCTTACTGAAAATTTGTTATTATACTGATAGTATATTCTTTTTATAGGTTAGTATGTTCATATTCTATTCACTTATCTTCACTATGTTGTACAACTTTGTGTCCTTACACAGACTATATACTTTTCATCGCCTTAGTGTTAATCTTGTTTATGGATCTAGTTGTGATGTTTTTGTTTGCACAAGTGACCAGAGATTATGAGTGCTATGTTTTGATGTTGAGCGGTTGGATGCAATTGGATAGCATCCCTGCCCCAAGGATTTGTCTTAGTTCATAATCTTTAATAATGTGTGTCTGCAATTTTGAACGATATAATGTTTAAGATTTTAACATAGACTACTTACTATCACAACCATAGGCATCTCTACTTAGCCTATAGAATGTGAATGAATTACTAATGAACTGAGACTTCCATAGCGCTTGATCAATCAATAGTAAGCTGAGTTATGCTACTTCAGTCTTTACTAGAGATAGAATTTCATCAATCATATTAAATTTAAAGTCTTACACCTTTTACATAAATAGGCTTGGTAATTATCTGATTAAAATGAAATCAGAAATACAAAATAATCAAACAAAGCTATTACACTACACAGAAATTTTCAACTAGAAATTCACTGTTATTGTCTCACAGTTATCATAAAAATCCGACTGACATCACCAGTATTAAGATGTCAATAGCATTAAATTGTAGAATTCTAAGATTATCTGACTTTGCTTGTATCTTAGATCTTGCGTGAATGTTTACATTGACTGACTTGAACTGATTGCAATAATGTCCGCATTTCTGGAAATACTGAACATGAATATTGTTCACCGAAAGAATTTATATATATATATATATATATATATATATATATATATATATATATATATATATATATATATATGTTTCGTTCCCGTATGTAGGTATGTGTGAAGGCCAAGTATCTGTAAACGTTTTTTATAGCAACTATCAGTAGGTTACGTTGCTTTATTATCAATTTAGATTATTTTTAAACTAAAAAATGGCAAGTCATTGGTTTATTATAATGAAATTTATTTTGGAATACTTTCGATTAGCAGATAATTGTAATCAATCTGAAAGTTGAATCAGTTTGAATATTGGTCGAAATAAGACTACTATATGTACACGTTAGTATAATTCAAAAATGTGAAGTCGCCGGTTTTTTGCTCATATTGAAACTATCATAGAACTTGTTTGCTAATGGTCATGGCTTGTATATAAGTATATAAATCAAAATATCTCCACCATTTGAATATTAAGTACATTTTTGTTTTCGTAATTTAAATTCCATTTCAAATGCAGGAATCGTTTTTCGATAGTCTAACGACAGCTTTCAAAGAAGGTTTTATTGGTATATGAATACCGTATTTAGTGGAGCATATTTTAATTATTAACACGTAAGTGACGATAGTTAGCTATGTGATATCATGCAGACCGCATAAATATCCACTAGTGCAATGATATAGTACATGTTTTTACAAATTTTACGTAAGTTACTTTCTCTCAATTATCGGAATTTATCTACAATCGTGAAAAAACCGCTTTTCGCACGTCATATGTTAGACAGACCTTTACTAATCCAACCAACCTCTAGTCCATTGCTGACGTTGGTGTGATTGAAGTGTGTGAATGTAAAACACTTAATTCTGTGCATTTTTCCTTTATCCTCGTCTAACCCGATATTCTGAACTGACTTTATTTGAGGCCGTTTTAACTGTTCAACATCATACCACCTGTTATATTGAATAATTTCTTTAAAAGCACTTAGTAAGTTAACCTGAAGTATCTGCATAATAAAAGCTATTACGCAGTTGATGGAATTATTGTAAAGCTTTGACTTTTCTGATTTCTTCATGTTTTACACACATTATATCAGTACCTTTCACAATATACATTATATACGGACTGTGATAATGACTCAAAGAAGTGAAAATCGGTTAGTAGGCATAATGATGCAAAACTTAGCACTATTTAATTATCTATTCCTGTTTTTCACAAAAAAGGTATTTTATTTCATATCAAATAATATTTGATGGATGAATTTTACGGTGCTTTACGTTTCAGTTGATTACTACATGATAAGAACAAAGATGAAAAAACCAGTCGCCTATATTTCGTGCGAAAGCCCAAGGAAACATTTGATTTTAGCCAACATCTCTGTATCATTCCTAGAGTTACTATCAGTCCAAAACCCGGATAAAGTTGAAGGGTTGGACATAGAGTAAGCTACCACTTACCATAGAAAAGAAACATTGTTAAAAAACGATAACCATAAAAAAATCATTTGAACCATTTAAATTCTTTCCTGCGAGTCGAAAGATCTCCTTTCAGAAGAATTATGGCGCCTCATTTTGGAAGTCAACATTCTTCAAAAGTCATGAGACCAGTGCTTCCTCTAACAATCAGATCAACAATTAATACAGGTATACGGAATGTTCCAGTCGAACAGCTACGGAAATGAGAAGATACAATGTGATAGTTCTCGGACTAGGGGAAGCTAATTGCACCTAAGCTGGACAGAAAAGTTTGAACTCGAGAGAGATGATGTCCACTAGTCATGAAAAGTAAAAAATTCACACACTCAGGGAGTTGCACCAATGTTGTCCAATGAAGCATGAAAAGAATTTATAGGATGGGAATCCAGTGGACTCAGAATCATCAAAGCATCTTTCAAAATAAAGTAGTAGATTATAATGAATGTTATTCATTTAGGAAGATAAAGATCAGTTTCATGATAGGCTGTAATCATTCGTAGATAAGTGTTCAGAAAATGAACTTGCTATCCTAATGAGAGACCTAGACCTCAAAGTCGAAATGGACAACATCGGATACGAAGATATCGTGGGACGATATGGACTGACTGGGAGAAAGAAACGAGAATGGTGAGAGATCTACAAATGTATGTGCATCCAACAAAATGCTTATAGGTGGCACTATATGCCCCTACAAACATATAAAATCTACCTGGGTTTCACCGGATCACACTACAGTAAAAAATGAGACCAGTCATATTTGCATCGCTAAAATTTTCAGACGACCCGTGTAAATCGTGAGAACATACAGATTACTTGCTGTCGATTCAAACCACCACATGATGGTTTCCAAGATGAGACTGAAGCTAAAGAAACATTGGACAGATGAACAAACAGCATTACAGAGGTTTAATATAGCCTACATTTGACGTAATGACAAACTCATCGAATTCAAGTTAACTATCAACAAGAGGTTCCAAGCCCTAGGGAATCTACTGGAGAAGAAGAAACTACTATAAAGGAAAATTGGAAAGGAATCAAAGAAGCACCAACTTCAAAGTGTCAGGAGGTTCTGGGCCTCAAGGAGTATTATCGTCGAAACCCTGGACAAGAACCAAAAAAGGAAAAACAATAAGACAGAAATTAAAAACAGCTGAACAAGAGAAGAGAAAGTTAAGGTATAAGGTGAGTACACTGGTGGGAACAAGCAAGTGAAGAGGAGCATTAGGGCTGACAAACGGAAATATGTGGAAGATCCAGCAATGACGACGGAAAAAGCTGCAACAGAAGCGAATGTCAGACAACTACATGACACAAGGAAAAACTAGCAGGATGATATAGTAAACTAGAGAGACAGGTCAAGTACAAAGAAGGCAAGAAAATCACTGAATTTCAAGATGGGTAGAATACCCCGAAGAATTCTTAAATAGACCAGATGCACTGAACCCACCGGACATCGAAGCAACACACAGACCTTCCTATCAATGTCACTCCACCAACGACGGAAGAAATTAGGAAGGCCATTCATCAGACAAATCAAGAGTGAGAAAGCAGCAGGACCTGACAATATACCAGTCGAAGCAATCAAGTCACACATAGAAATAACCTCGAATATGCTCCACGTTCTATTCAGGAATATTTGAGAAGAAGAACAAGTGCCACTGACAGACTGGAAAGAACGATACTCCATCCAGGCACGATGGAAAGTAGATCTCAGCATGTGTGACAATTAAAGAGGAATCGCACCACAATCGGTAGTAGAAACACTTTTCATCAGAGTTCTGTTGAACAGCACAGCTTCGAGGTCAGTAGACGGGACTCCGTACGGATCGATCGTGCACAGACCGAATCGCGATACCATGAATCATTGCTGAGTAGTCAGTTGAATGGAATTCATTACTATACATCATTCGTTTATATGAAAAAGCGTTTGATAGTGTGGATAGGACAGCATTATTGAACCTTCTTTGACATAATGGTGTGAGTAGCTGACAAGATTATTAATATCATACGGAATTCATACGACGGACTGCAGTGCAGATTCATGCTTAGAGAACAGACAATAGATGTATTCCAAGTGAAGACTGGTATCTGACACGGTTGCCTACTATCCCCCTTTTATTTCTTCTGGTGGTTAACCGAATTATTAAGAGCTTGGCATTTGAAGGAAAGCGTGGAATGCAATTAACAGCTTGGATGGAACTAGACGATTTGGACTTCACAATAGACTCCATACATAGCACCAAACGAATTTTAAGACAGTCAATGAAGTGGCATCAACCTGTGTATCAGTAGTAAATAAATAATATATTTGTAATATCTCAATGAGTAGAAAATTAGATTTTCTGACGTTTTGTGGCTTAGTGTAAGTCACTTCTTCAGAGAATAAATAACCAAATTAAAATTAATCCAAGTTTAAATCGTACAACGGAACAATACAAGAATCAGTAGGTCTCAACGCACATAAAGAAAAAGTTAAACCACTTCTGTTTTATGGAGCTAAAACTTGGAGAACTATAAAAACCAACATCAAGAAAGTACAGGTGTTCATAAACATTTGTCTTCGCTAGATACTCTGATCGATTGTTTAAACACCATCAGCGACAACCTACTGTGACAGAAAACAAATTAAGTTGAGACGCTGGACGTGGATGGAATATACACTACGGAAATCATCAAACTGCAT